TTATTCATTTTGTGTTTATGCAGGATACTGGGTGTAATCAGAGAGAAGTGCATTAGAGTAGAAGACATAGAAATGTTGCAGGCATGTTTTCTCTTGCAGACTACATTTTCTACTGGTATCCTCTTCCGAAACTGATCTTTAGAGTGTACTCGTGTTGTAGCTGAATATGATGTGGTCAGAGTGGGAATAAATTCATGCCAAACCAGATCAATGCTTTATCGTGCCCCCGCCATTCAGTGCATTAGAAATTGGTGCCGTTGAAATATTTGCAGTGACGTATGAACAAGTCATTTGGCTGGTAATATTGCTCACTGAGTTTTCCTGAGGAGAGAAAAATAGGTTTGAGTTGGAGGCTGTCCGTGTTTTAGTAAAATTCCGTCTCTATGATCTCCTCAGGTCTCAATTCATTGGCAGTGAATAAAATGGAGCATGATCCGAGAAGTCCCTCTCATCGAACCTTTGCTTTTCATGATTAAGATGTTGCACTGGCCATGCTTTGAACATCTGTGTAGACTGCGGTAAAGGATTATCCCACAGATATTCCATTCTTGATCGATCGATGCAGAATACCCGAGAAATGTCAATAATGACTTGAAGTGATCCATTAAATTGTACTCCGCAACAGAGAAATCTTCTGGAAGCACTTAGAGTTGGCAGTGTTATGTGATATTGCTACTCCAGCTATCCGAAAGAACAAGCGTCATTCGAATCTGACTGATTCTACTGGTGTATCTTGGGTGTTGCATCACAGAACCTGATGTGAATCTTTTATACGTTTTCATTTCATCCACATGCAAGTTTGATAGCGCAGGGAGAAGCTTAGTACTATTTTAGCATGCAGCAGACCTTTTTTTTACTGATGCTTACTGTTAAATTAACAGCTGCACGTGACAGACATTCAGTCCTCTCTGTGTTTGCTACAGTTGTTCTTGATTTTACCTAGACGTCGTTCTTGCATTGTTTCTAACAGTTCCCCTCATATTTTTGTTCTCAGCGGGAAGTGGCCAAACTAGGGACATTTTTTGTTTATTGCGTAACATTTTAGCATGTCCCTTTTTTTAAACTGAATGTATTAAGGAAATCGCCCGCCGCATCGCTAAAGTTACGCTAGAGGCAAAATTACCCGTCGACGAAAACGAATACGTGGAAAGTTTCAAGCCGCACTTGATGGATGTGGTATATTCTTGGACTAACGGGGCCAGTTTCGCAAATATTTGTGAAATGACTCAAATTTTCGAAGGTAAAACTTCGTAAATTATAGGTGGCTGTTGAGATTGGTTTTAAACTGAACTGCTTTTCAGGTAGCATTATAAGGTGTATGCGTCGACTTGAAGAACTGCTCAGGGAGATGTGCTCCGCATCAAAGGCGATGGGCAGCGCAGATCTTGAAAATAAGTTTTCTGAAGGCGTTAGAAGGATAAAGCGTGACATCATATTCGCCGCCAGTTTGTATCTATAATGTGATGTTATGATTAAAAGTTTTTCCACGTCGTTGCTTTTGGAAGCCACACTGTTGGAAATACGTTTTTATTATGACTGAATTATTTCCCGAATGTGTATATACCGTAATGCAGGTTGGTGTCATTTTTTTGTAGTTCTGAACAATGAGTAATATCGATACATACCTTCATTCGATGCGTGAGTCAGCCACAGATCGTACCGTTGAGCTGTGGAGACAGATAACTGAGTGCTACGAAAAAAAGTATAATTTTTTACAGTGTTTGGTTCGTTAATGCTTGAACCATTATTGCGTTAGATTGTGGCATCAGCTAAGCCTGAAAATCAAAGAAGCGGTGAACAATCCAGATTTTTGCGCCGAAGTAAATTTATGCGATTTTTATTCACAGTTCGTCCATAATTTTCAATATAGGTATGTATTGACTGTTCTTATTTGTATCCTTGAATGGCTTCATTGTGTGGTTTCAGGTTCAATTCTTTGAGGTTCGTCGAAATCGCTTTGACCATTGCAAAATCTTACAGTGGTAATTAAATAATGATAGTCAGGTTTGATTGTTGGAGACCAGTGTGAATTTTCAGATCCACTTGATGGGGCAAATTTTATGCTGACTATCCAAAATGCGATCAAGAGCAACGCCGAGGCAGAAATTCTTTGTTTTACGGGCATCGCCGGTTTGTACCTCAAATCGAGAGAGCCGAACGGTGGCTGTCCGATGATCAACAAGGTGAAAACTTTGCTAGAGGAGGCACAGGAGAAGTTGGATTCTTTGCAAGGAGTCAGCATTGTTCACAGTGAGTTCTACAAAATCTCTTCGACGTACTTCCGTGAGATCGAAGACTACTCTTCTTATTATCGAGAAGCGCTGCGTTACCTCGGCTGCGTGGACACGGATAGCATGAGTGGTAAATTTGTTTTGAAGCCATGTCAAGTGCGCGTTTGTGTCCAACATAACGACATACCTCTGTTAATTTTAGAAAGCGAAAAGCCTATCCAAGCGTTTTGCCTCGGCCTGGCGGCTCTGTTGGGTGAGGATATTTACAACTTCGGCGAATTGGTGAGTTATGGTTTGCACTTTTTCTGCTTGTTTTCGCCCCTCTTCAGTCGCTTATTTTATTTTCTCTG